CTCGTCCTGGTGTGGGTCGTTCGGGCCCCTCCTCTTGGTGTGAGTCGTTCGGGCTCTTCGTGGTGTGAGTCGTTCGGGCCCCTCGTCCTGGTGTGAGTCGTTCGGGCTCCTCGTGGTGTGAGGCGTTCGGGCACCTCGTCCTGGTGCGAGTCGTTCGGGCCCCTCGTAGTAGTAGTAGTAGTAGTAGTAGTAGTAGTAGTAGTAGTAGTAGTAGTAGTAGTAGTAGTAGTAGTAGTAGTAGTAGTAGTAGTAGTAGTAGTAGTAGTAGTAGTAGTAGTAGTAGTAGTAGTAGTAGTAGTAGTAGTAGTAGTAGTAGTAGTAGTAGTAGTAGTAGTAGTAGTAGTAGTAGTAGTAGTAGTAGTAGTAGTAGTAGTAGTAGTAGTAGTAGTAGTAGTAGTAGTAGTAGTGGTAGTAGTAGTAGTAGTAGTAGTAGTAGTAGTAGTGTAGTAGTAGTAGTAGTAGTAGTCGTAGTAGTAGCAGTAGTAGTAGTAGAGTAGTAGTCGTAGTAGTAGTAGTAGTAGTAGTAGTAGTAGTAGTAGTAGTAGTAGTAGTAGTAGCAGTAGTAGTAGTAGTAATAGTAGTAGTAGTAGTAGTAGTAGTAGTAGTAGTAGTAGTAGTAGTAGTAGTACCCACCACTGTCCCCACTGTACCTCTGTCCCATTGTCCCACCGCCGTCTTCGCCACCGCCTTCACCACTGTCCCCACCACCACTGTACCCTCCACTGTCCCACTGTTTCCACCTCATTCCCACTGTCCCCACACCACTATCCCCGCCACCACCGTCCCCACCACTGTCCACTGTCCCCACTGTTCCCACCATTGTCATCACCACTGTCCCCACCACTACCGTCCCCACCACTGTCCCACTATCCCCACCACTGTCCCGCTGTCCCCTCACCACTGTCCCCATCACCACCGCCCCCATTACTGTCCGCACCCCCCCTCGGTTTTCGAGGGGGGGGGGGGTTCGAACCGGCAGTGACCCCCTCCCGGTTTTCGAGGGAGGGGGGGGGGGTTCGAACCGGCAGTGACCCCCCCCCCCTTTTCATGATGAACTGGGGGGGGGGGGGGTTCGAACCAGCAGCGACCCCCCCCGGTTTTCCGGAAGGGGGGGGGGGGTCGAACCGGCACTGACCCCCCCCCCCCCCGGTTTTCCGCCAGCAGCGGTAGAACACGCTCTTTCCGTGGTGAGCAGCCCTTAATGATGCTGGGAGGATCACTCCCGATGCATCTGAACACGAATCGCGAAGCACTCCTGCGGGCACATGCTCAGAGGGGAGTTTGCCAGGCGCCTTCCGCTTCCTGGCAACCTGGTACTTGGCGTCGTAGACTAGCTTCCACCTGTGGCCACTGCTGTAGTACATCCTCAGCTGACCTGGCTAGTGTCCACTCGTATGTGAGTTCGCCAACTGGGCGTCCCGATGTACCCAGAGGGCCCAGGTGTTGGCGGCTGTAACCCCCTCCTTCAGGGTCATGGCCTCCACGTCGGCACGCTTCTCCTTGCCCCAGAAGGTGCACACGGTCGTCTGTAGCCTGTCGCAGAGGCCCTTGGCGTCCACGACCACAGCAGCTGGCAGACTGGAGAAGGCCTCTTCTGGGATCCGCCAGTCGACGCTTTTGCCCGGGATCTCTAGCCACTGTAGCTTGACTCCGAACAGCTCAACTTCTCCGTCCACTGCGGACCTCATTTCAAATGCGACTGAGCTCCGGCATCCACGGTCTATCTTGCCTGACTTCCAGGATATCATGCCCACGTCCGCTTCGCCCCCCTGGGGATTCTTCAGCGGGGCCATCCAACAGACCAGGCCCTTGGTAGACTTCCCGTCTGGCCGGTTGGACTCTGAGGAGTCGGACCACTCGATGGGCACGAGCACCCGGGCCCGGGAGTGGCAATGGATCACTATGGGGAGGTCCGCGCATTCTCGCACACGATCGACCGGACGGCTCGTCTCATTGATGGTCTGCACTGCGGGTGAAGGGATCGCGCCAAGCAGGAGGCGGGCGTCGGCTGAACGCATGGGCCCCGACTGCTCGGAAGGACACCCAACTGCACCGAGCATCGCCCTGTGCGGCCCCTTCTCCTCGTCGGCGGCCAGCGCGCCCTTGTTCTTCTTGCGCTCGGGGGGCAAAACTGCTTTCTCGATGGCATTGGCGCACTCGCTCTGGCCCACGCTGAAGCTCTCGTCGAACTGCAGCCCGGTCCGGACGCCAGTCTGCATGAACTCGTCGGCCCCCCCGGTCTTCCACTTGAAGCGCCCCTCAATCTTCCCCCGCGCTTCGACGGGCCGCGGGCCAGACTCCTTCCCCCCAATCAGGAGGTCGTCTACGTGCGAGCCGGCACTGGCTATGATGTCGCGGTCGCCCTTCGCCGCGACCAGCATGTCCAGCTTCTCGGGGCCCGCGAAGCCCCGCGGCGCCCCCACAGCGAAGCCATTGTCCTGGCCGCGAGCATCGCCGCACAAAACCCGCGCGCACGGGCCCATCAGCATCTGGGCCCAGCCAAACTCCTCAAAGCCTCAGTGACTGCCATGAACCTCTCGACGGCTGCTTCCACGAGCCCGCACACGGCCTTCCGAAGCCTCGTCGCGGAGCCGTCGGACACCCCAAGGGCAGCGGCCAGCTCCTTGACTGGCACCACGAAGGTCATGCTGGATCTCCCGATTCTGCGCGAAAGCTCCGGCCACATCTGCCTTGAACCCTCGAAGCCAAGCCATGACATCACTTGCAGCACCACATGCCGAGATGCACGTGTCATGGCAGGTGTCGTCGTCGGGCAGCGCTCATACTCTGGGCCCATGTAGCCCAGAACCACGATCCTGGCCTTCGGCTTCTTCTCGCCCCTGGTCTCGTCTACCTTCCACTCCAGCATCCACCGCGCGCGCAGGACGTCTTCCGGTGGGGGGGTTACTCCCGGGGGCGGGGATTCCAGCACCGATGAGATGACGAGTCGCGACGCTGAACCTCATCATCTCGTCGGGCGCGGGGGCCCTCTCTGAGATCTCTCGCTTGCCCATGCGAAGCTGGCCCGCCACGCAGGCAATCGCGCGTCTCGCGGCCCGCTCCAGGGCCTCACCGACACCTCCAGCGACGCACCCTGCCCTGCCCAGAAAGCCCGGGCAACTGGCGAGGCCTTGGCCATGAGGGCAGCTCTCTCCTTCATTGTCTCCTTGGCTGCCGCAGCTCTCGCTGCCTTCACCCCGTCTGAGGCGCCGCCTGGATGCTTCCCATTCTTCGGATCGACTCCCGCACTGGCCGGGAAGGAGAGCTCCTCGAAGGCTCACTTGGCGGCCCCCCGTGACGCGCTTTCTCCAGGTGGCGCTGGCTCAAGCACTCCTTCCCAGGAAGCCATCTTCTCGTGCTGATCGGCGGGGTCGTGGCCTGAGAAGTCCAGGCACTCTTGCTTCATCGCCTGGTTCACGAAAGTGCGCACTGCCCATGGAGTGCCCTCGCCGCCCAGGAGCTCCGCGCAGGCGATCTCGCGCGCCGCCGCTGCTCGGATCTGGCACAGGTCCACCTCGATAAAGCGGCCTGCCCGGACCAGCCAGGCCACTGGCCCAGCCCGTCCTGGACGCCAGGTACGGTTCTCCCCGAGGCCACCGTCCACCGGGCGACTCACCCGCGCGAGACCCTCGAGCCAGCACTTGGTCTCGCCCTGCCCCTTGCGCGAGCAGCGCGCCCACGTGCCGGGGGCCGCGGCCTTCCGCGTCTGATCATTCGCGCTCTCCGCCCGGCTGATCCGCCGCAGGTAATCTGTTCTCCCGAATCGAGTGAAAGTCAGCGATTAAGTGAAGGAGGCCCGCAGCGGCGACAGCGCAGGGCATGTCCATGCTTGTCGCCGCCGCTCCTGGGTGACAACACATGCCTTGCCCACGGTTGTCGTTCTGGCCCTCCCGCCGCCCCATACCCTCGATGGATTTTCTCTCATCGCGAAGAGATCGCTGCACTTGCACGCAAGCTGTTCGCCGCCACCGAGGGCGCCCGCTACCCCCCGCCACCGCGGGCGCACCTCGCCCCAGCGCGCCCTGCGCCCCGCCGCCGCGGGCCACCAACGGATGCGTTTTCACCACTTGGCTCTCCAGGCAGCTGGCTTGCCCTGATCTCGCGCGCCCCATTTTCCACCCTTGCCGCGATCGTCGGGCGGCTCGCCGCCACCGCGGCCGCGGGCGCCCTTACCTTTGCGTTGCCCTTGCCAGCTCCCCTTTCCACCAGGAATCGCGGATTGCCTCCGTTCCCAGGCCCAGCCGCGCCCGTCCGCGTTTTGGCCCCGCCGCCTCCGCGCATCACCCGTCCGCCGCATGTCGCCAGGCCCGCCCACGTGGACCATCCAGGGCATGCGCGCCCCACGTCTGAGGAACTGACGGAGGGGGTCGAACTTGTCGAACTGGACCGACTTCTGCTTCGAAGGCGGCGTCTGAGGCCAACTCCACGAAGCGGACCCCGTGGCGCAGCCCACTCTGCACGGGAACATTTCCTCGACACCCCTCGCGCTGTCCAAGACCGCCGCCACCGCGGGCGAGGCCGCGTCGAAGACAGGCGCGAAAGTCCATTGAGCACACTTGCCCCTGCGCGCGGGCACCTTCGCGCGGTGGCCGGAGTAGGGCATGCCCTGGCCTAGAAAAGGGGCGCTCGCAATGGGGCAAGGGCGTTCACCCGTTCCCCTGCCGCCCCGGTCGCGCAGGGCCTCCATAACCGTCGAGCAATGGTCCGGGCCTTCGAGCCCGAACGCAGAGGTACCGTAGCACATCCGAGTCCCTTCGCACGGCCCCAAGCGGAAGATGCCACGCGAGTCCGCTCGGACAGAATTCTCGCGCCGCCGCTGCCAAGGATGCCATGCTGCCAGATTGATCTGGAAGCCGCGCGCCCGCAGCTCCGACGCGACAAGGAAGAGCGCCACGTTGAAATCCCCGCAGAGAATGGAGGGGCGGAGCTCGGGCAAGCATCGCGATAGCAAATCACAGTTGTCGTAGGACTCCCCACCAGCATGCAGGTCTTTCTCCGCCGTCTTGAAGTTCAAGTGCACGTTGGCAAACCGGAGCTCATCGATCTCCTGGTCATCAGAAACGGCTGCCCCGCTACCGCGGGTTGTCCAAAATCGCATCTTTGCAGATGCAGTTATGATCCTGCTCACCGCGGTATTCGCGACCTTGGTCTTCGCTTTGTTTTTTGTTTTCCAACGCGCGCGCGCCCATGGAGAAGTGGCGGTCGCATCCCCGACACCAGGGACTCCAAGCCGCAGATCATACTGCTGTCGCCCGTTTCTGGCCCTCGCACACCTATGAACTTGGCTGCAGGCCGCCCCGCCCCGCACCCGCGTTCGCGTTTATATGGGTCTTGTTGCGCGCGCTCCACCAGGTCTTGATCCATGTGCGCATGCATTGCTGGGCCCTTCCATTCCCCACCCCAGTTGACAGTCAAGTCACCGAAGGTGCCTCCATGGCGACTGCCTTTGCCATCATTTCCCTTCACGCATACACACCTCACCACCGTGGGTTCCAACCACCCAAACACCAGAGGGGGACTCCGCCCCCCCCATCCCAACCCGGCTTCAGCAGGAGCTCTGCGCCCTCGGGGACGTCGCCCAGATCCCACGGCGCGCCAGATGCGCCCGCCGGCGCATAAGTGGGCAAGTTTCTTTCGGCATGTCCATCGCCATCCTTATCTCGGCCAGCGAAGCCCCCTGAGGGAGCTCCATGACCATGGGGGCGGGTTAACTCTAAGGCGGGCATGCTCGAGCCGCAACAGCGAATATAATGGTGATATTTTCGCAACGTCGTCGTCGTCGTCGTCGCCCTCGTCGACGTCGTCGTCGTCGCCCTCGTCGTCGTCGTCGCCCCGGCTGGCGACACGGAGGGCGAATAGGCCGCAGACGAGGAGGGCGACGCAGCAAGACGAGGAAGCAGAGGACGGGGAGGAGGAGGAGAACAGGGCGGGGAGGAGGCGAAGGACGAGGAGGAAGCAGAGGACGGGGAACAAACAAGTGCGAAATGTTTTCGGTGACGGGCCAGAGGCAAGCTGCACGCGGCAGCGCCAATGCACTCCGCCACCGCGGAGACGCCTCGCCAGTCACGGCGGCGCCGCCTCCACCGCGGCAGAATGTCCAGGCGCGAAGAATACCCAGCAAAACCAATGAAGGTACATCTCCTAGCACTCGTCTGGTCTGATTGCGCATGAATACAGACAGCGCGTCTTTTCTACCTTCCTGCAGTTCGTTCACCATCTTCTGAACCATCTCAGCAAAGAGTTGCGCCCATATTACACCGTGGGTCGCAGCCATCTTACTGTCCCATTGCGTTTTGAAGAACTCTCAGTGGCTCGTTTGCTCAGGCGACGATTCGGCGGCTTCCCGCAGAGTTTGCAATACCGGCAAGCGCGCTTTCTGGTGACATTGACAGCCGCCATGTTTTCCCTTGCCCCAACAGATCCAAGGAATAAGCTCTCATCTGATCCATCGCCGCCACCGCGGCTTCGGCCTCTCTCTGCTCTTCGCGGGTCTCGTTGAGCCTCTCCGTTGCCCCCTGCGACTCACGCATGACACGCGCATTTTCTTTCCCCTGCGCCATGTGTTCTTGAGGCGCAAGCCTGGAACGACGAGCCTCAGCCTCATCTTGAAACGCTGCGCGCAGTTCGTCGTGAACCACCGCGCCCACCCGGGACAGCGCCCTGCGCCGCTTGGTTTCAACGCGAATGACACGCGACACAGCGCCTGCAAGAGCAGCACCCACCTGACAGTTCATACTGCGAAATATATGTAGGGCTTCCTGTAAAGACCTCATCCTGGACGACTCCTGAATAACATGTCCCACCTGCTGGTCATCAGAGGACGCAGCTGGCGCGGCCCTCTTCTCTTCGTCGCCATCACCATGGCCGTTGGGAGCAACCTTGCTCGACGAATGCGCGCGCAGCTTCATCTGGATCCACCCAGTCTGCCGGATCGAAACCCACGTTCTCGTTGCCCTGATCGTCGGCGCCGTCGCCCTCACGCGCTTCCGCTGCTGGTTCCGCCTCTCGGGCCCCAGCCGTCCCCCGAGGAACTCCGTCTGGATATGCGGTGACCTCGTTTTCCTGGCCAATGTTTAGCTCATCTTGGCGACCCCTGCGAAAGTACGACGCGATGAGCGACTGCGCAGCCTTGCGCGGCCAAGGCACAAGACCAGCAGCGCGCTGCTGCGCAATCTCCGCCACCGCGGAGTCAATGTGGCTTCGCATGCCCAATTCATCCAGGAAGTCCTCTGCGTCTCTGCATATAATATCCTCTTAAGAGCCGTCCAAGGCGACCGTCGCTCCCGCGAGCCCGCGCCCCATGCACGCTTGCACGTGGAGAGCCCTGTCGGACATGACCTGCACCATGAGATCGATGTTCTCCTCTTTCGTCGGATCCACCACCCCACCGCCACTGAGTCGCATTTTCTCGACCATCCTGGCCGTTTGCATTTCAATGATTCTCTTGCGAACGTGCAAATGGAGGTCGGGATCATTTGTTTGGCAGATCATAGACGCCCCACCACCGCGGGCCACGCAGATGCAGTCGCGGCTCCAGCGCAAGCGTTGAACATGATCAGCGAGCCCGGGGGAGCTCGCATCGAAGAGAAAAAATTCCCACCGTCTGCCAGGGCCCCACGGCAACAGCCACTTCGAGGATACCCGACAGCCCCTGGCGGGGGCACCTGGCGGCGCAGGTGGGCCTGGGTTCACGAGGACAGGTTTCTGTCATCGAGTCGCATCCCCGACGAGCGCTCTCGTTTCGAAGGGGGGGGGAGAGGGGGGGTGAAAACTAGTACGGCGACGACTACTACTACTACTACGCTACTACTACTACTACTACTACTACTACTACTACTACTACTACTACTACTACTACTACTACTACTACTACTACTACTACTACTACTACTACTACTACTACTACTACTACTACTACTACTACTACTACTACTACTACTACTGCTGCACTGCTAACACGACTACTGCTACATTTGCTATTAGTATTACCACTACGACCACTACGACTACTACGAATACGACTAGGACTGCTACGCATGCTACGACTACTACGACAGTTACTACTACTACTACTGCTACCACGACGACGACGACTACTACTACTACTACTACTACTACTACTACTACTACTAACACTGCTACTACTACCACCACCACTAATGCTATGACTACTACTACTGCTACGACTGGTGCTACTGCTACTATTATTACTACTACTACTACGACTACCACTACTACTACGACTACTACGACTACTACGCTACTACTACGACTACGACTACGACTACGACTACGACTACTACGACTACGACTACGACTACGACTACTACTACTACGACTACTACTACTACTACGACTACGACTACTACTTACTACTACTACTACTACTACTACTACTACTACTACTACTACTACTACTACTACTACTACTACTACTACTACTACTACTACTACTACTACTACTACTACTACTACTACTACTACTACTACTACTACTACTACTACTACTACTACTACTACTACTACTACTACTACTACTACTACTACTACTACTACTACTACTACTACTACTACTACTACTACTACTACTACTACTACTACTACTACTACTACTACTACTACTACTACTACTACTACTACTACTACTACTACTACTACTACTACTACTACTACTACTACTACTACTACTACTACTACTACTACTACTACTACTACTACTACTACTACTACTACTACTACCACTACTACTAAAATCAGTTAAGACCCTTCTCTCCTATCTTCTCGAGTGCCACTCAACACGTATATCCCAAACCCTCGATACCCGCCCTCGTTGTTTGCAATCATACCCCGGGGGGTATGTCTTCTTTACCTGCCACTTGCAATTGGCGCGGCCCCCAAAACATGAAAAAGAGGACGACTTGATGGGGGAGGGGAAAGGATGGAGCACGAGAGAAATTAGCAGGAGTGGGGCTGGAAGCAGAAAACACGTAGCAAAAGCAGACGGGCACATCGGGCGGACAGACCCTGGCGGGGGGGCTCCCTCCCTCCCTCCCTCCCTCCTTTCACATTATCCCGGCACGACCCCCTCCTCCTCCTCAGGCGGAAAAGGGAAAGAAGAAGTGTGAGAAGAGGGGAGAAGGGAGAGAAAGGAGGGGGATACGGGGAGGGAGGACAAGTTTGGTGCACTGGCACCACATCTGACGTCCTACCCTTCCCTCCCATTCCTTCCCATTGCGCTGATTGTTTCTCGATCCTCCAACGGGTGTGGTAGCGGACCTGGAACGCGAAATCTGAAAAGGGGAGCTGCATACATTGGAGGAGGTGGCGGATGAGCAGGAGGATGAGCAAGAGGAAGAGAAGAATGAGGGAAGGAGGAGGACAAGGAGGAACTGCACCAAGAGGAGCAGGAGGAGTGGGAGGAGCAGGAGGACCAGAGGAAGGCGGGGGAAGGAGAAAGGCAGGGGGCGACAACGACGAGGAGCCACTCGGATGCAGCAATGTGGCCCGCGCTGGGCCGAGAGCGCCATTCTGAACGACGGGAGCAAAGCGCCGATCTTCAAATGAGGCCAACGCTGCAGCGGGGGGGGCACCATTTTGGAAGGACCGAGAATGCTCGGAGTGGACAAGTTCTAACCAATAGAGTGAAAAATACAATACGCGGAGGGCGGAGGGCGACTCTCAGTACATCTGCGGGGGAGAGAAGAGAGAAGCTTACATGTATGTGACTGTAGATGAGGAGGAGGAGGAGGAGGAGGAGGAGGAGGAGGAGGAGAGGACTGAGGGAGATTAGAAGGACATTATACTGGACAGGAGGACGAGGTGTAGGAAAAAGAAGAGGAATAAGAGAGGAGGCAGGAGATCAGGGGCTGGATGAAGGAGAACGCGGAGGAGCAGAAGGAGCGGGAGGACGAGGAGGAGGAGAAGGGGAAAAGGAGAGGAAGAGAGTAGGGGGACGAGGAGAGGGGAGAGTCAGCCGATCCCCGCTTGCTGGGGGGAGTAGGCGTGTGACATGGTTGACTGTCCCCCTCCCACATTCCGCCTCCCCTTGCGTTCAAAATCACATTAGACGGGGCGAGCTCATGAACGCACCTTCGGGCCCTCGGAGTCCAAATCCAGCCTCCGTGGCCTACAACAAATGTCCAAGATGACTTCAAGAGGGCTTCGACAGGACCCCCAGTAGGGCCCGAAAAAGCCGAAATCCGCCGACCCCTGCTGGCCGGAGGGGACAAGGCGCGAAAGCCCCTCACCCTTTCCCATCCCCCCCCCCAGTCCAAACTCTCGTTAAAGGGGGGGGGGCACACGAGCTCGCCAACGCGCCTCCAAGGCCCTCGGAGCCTCAAAAAATCTACACTCCGTGGCTTCCAAGATCTACGATGGCTCAAGAGGGGCTCTAACACGCCGGAGATGGCTGCAGAATAGCCAAGAAATCTCAAGACAGCCTAAGAACCCACCAAGATGCCCCAAGAAGGCCCCAAGAGGACGCAAAGTTCAATGACTTACGAAATGCTTTGATGATTTTCGCGTTCTCGCCTTTGCAGGCTTCTGCAAGCCCAAGACGGCCCGAGAGGCTTCCCCAGACCGACCAGAGACGGCCCAAGAGGCCCTCCACGAGACCCCGAGACGGCCCCAGAGGGCCCCAAGACTGCGCAAGAGGCCCACAAAACGCCGAAGGAGCCTTTAAGAGAGAACCAAGAGGGGCTCAAGAGATGCCAGAGAGAGAACTCATAGGAGTCCTGGGAGCCCTCCACCACAAGATGGACCCAAAAACCTCCAACAGGCCCCGAAGAGGCATCGAAACCCCACAGAGAGCCCCAACAGACAGACACCAGGAGCTCTGAGAAGGCTCCCGGCACGCCCCCAAGAAGGAGGAGGAGGGCGGCAACAACAACAGACGCAAGGAAGATGAGGGCTCCCGAGATGCCCCCAAGAAGAGAGCCCAGCAACAGACGCGGAGGAAGATAAGGGCGAATCAGCAACAAGTACACGCAGGCATCACGACGGGAAGCGGCAAACAACACATGCAAGATCGGAAACTGCACATCTCCTTTTCTGGAGATCGGAGGAAGGTCGTAAGCCTCTTGAGCAATACGAGAGGGAAGAGGAGAGGAGGAGGCGGAGGCGGAGGACGACGACGACGACCATGAAATGAAGAGAATGGGGAGAAGGAGGAGGAGGAGGCGACGACGACGACGACGACGATGAGAGCAAGAGAATCGGGAGGAGGAGGAGGAGGAGGAGGAGGAGAAGGACGACGACGACAACGTCGACGACGACGACAGCGACGGCGAGGGGATCGAGACCAGCTAGGAGGCCCTCATGATGTCCATCGATGGCTGGCGCTTCTCGGGGCAATTCCACACCTGCGGGGCGCGCCTCTCCGAGGGCGCGCGCGGGCTAGACGGCGCCAGTGATCTATATATATATATATATATATATATATATATATATAATGGAGAGCCTCTGGTGCTGCAGCTGCCTCTTCTGTTGTTCCTCTTCAACGTCTGCCTGCTGCTGCGCCAGGAGGGCGGGAGGAGGGGCGAGGACTTTTTCTGATGCCAGGATGTGAGCTGGCGTGGGCCGCAAACTGTGTCTCTAGCAGTATGGGTGATGCAATCGATGTGGTTCAGCCTATGTGGAATATCATGTGCGGTGCGATCTACGTGATGCAGTCCGTGTTGCGCAATAATGTGTCGCAATCTGGAAAGGAGGTTCGAGGGTTCTTCATACTGCTAGCGCCATGCGGGCCAAGCCTGCCCACGCACAGCCGCTCGTTCATGGGAGGGCGGGCGCTCTCCGAGGTGCCACGCGCCCTCACCCCCTTCTCAGGCCCGAGCTATCATCCAAGGGCGTCACACTCCGCCTGCACCGACGGAATGAGGAGGGCGAGGGGCGGGAGGGGCCGAGGGCGAGGTTCCGAGGGCTCCAGCGGTCTTAAAACCAGGCCAATCCTGTGCCAGCCATGGCCCTGGCCAGGATCCGTGAAAGCGATCAGCTGGTGCCGCCCGCCGAAGGGAAGGCGTGGGTGTGTAACCCATCCCTGGCAGGATTGAAAACAAAAGTGATAAGGAGAACGAAAAGGAGAGGGGGGACGAGGAGGAGGAGGAGGAGGAGGAGGAGGCAGAGGAGAAGGAGGAGAGGGAGCTGCAAGGATGGGTGGAGAGGGGGCAAGGAGGATGAAGGGAGAGAGGAGGAGGACGAGAGGGGGGAGGAGTAGGAATACGAGGAGCACGGAGGATGGGAGGAGGTGAGGAAGGGAGGAGGACGGGAGGAGAGGGAGGGAGGGAGGGAAGAGAGCCCAACCCAAGACTAGCCAGCCCGCACCCGAACCCATCCCAGCCCGAACCCAGCCCAACCCAATGGGATGGTGGGAAAGAGCGAAGACCTCTTCGGTAGAAACTCGCTGTGGCAAGCGTCAATCGGCAAAAGAAGGAACGCGCGCGCCTCCTGCGTGGATAGGAAGGCGAACTTCTCCTCGCCGCGCAGCGTCTCGAGGTAGATACCTCGGCCGCTGGGCGCGAACAGCGCGCGCCTGATGTCTCGCTAAGTTGGAGTCGCACCCGCGGGTCGCCGTCGCCGCCGGGGCCGCTGGGCAAGAAGAGGGGAGGACGGTGAAGGGGGAGGGGGCGGGTAAGCTAGGTGCGCTCGCGCCACATCTGACGTCCTATCCCTCCCTCCCATCCCCTCCCATTGTTTCTATCCGCGGACGCGTCTCAGAGCCGACCTGAAAATCAAACAGAAAAACCCCATCGTGTTATGATCAATTGGAAAATGGGCGCTGCGCACATGGGAGGAGGAGGAGGAGGAAGAGGAGGAAGACGAGCAGGTGGCGGATGAGCAGGATGAAGAGTAGGAGGAAAAGGAGGAGGATGTAGAAGGACGAGGACGAGGATGAACAGCATCAGCAGGAATTGGAGCGAAAGGAACGGGGGCCGCGCAGCGCCTCGATAGAAGCCGCAGCGGAGGCCGTCGCGATAACTAATAACGACCGGGAGGAAGAGCGCGGGAGCCCAGGACGCATCCTGGAGCACGTGGTGGGCACTCCGAACGCGAAGATGTTGTGGAAGCTGAGCGTGGTCGCCGAGAAGTGCGATGGGGGCGCCCGTCGGACGCAGCCATGGAGATGGGGATCATGGAAAGGGCCTCCAGCGCCAGGCCGGCCTCTTCGAGGAGGAGGGCGTGGCAGGTGACTGGGGCCTGTCCACAAGCTGGCTGCCGCCTCAAGGGTGAGCCCGACGAGCTCGAACTGCTGGAAGGCACGGCGGAAGATGTGGAATTGAGCCTTCTGCTTCTTGGAGACGGGCTTGTCGAAGCCAGCAGCCTCCCACCTGGCCTCCATGACGAGGTGCTTGGCCTCCTCGGGGGTGACCTCTGGGCGGGAGAAGCGGCAGACGGTGTCTTCGCTGAGCCCGAGATTGGCCCCGACAGTGTCGAAGGCAATCGTGGCCAGGAGGCTGCAGCAGATCTGGTTGTTCTGAGCTGCTAAGAGGACCGCCACGTGCTCGGGGCACGAGCTGGCGGGAAGGGCGGCCCAGGCGCGCGCGGCGCGCGACTTGCTGGTCCCCAGCGGCCCGCGCTGGCGTGCACGCGCCTGACGATCATTGAGCTTCCACAGCTGGCAGACTCGGGCAGCCGTGACTGGGGAGGGCGGCGCGCGCGACGGTGCCACCTTGACACTGGCTCGTGATCTGGTTAGCTACGCACCCCTGCAGTTGGGCCTAGCCCGCGTCGTCGCCAGAGACGGCGCCAGAGGCAGGAGAGGCAAATGCAAGGCGCGCGATGGGGGGGCTGCGAGGGCGGGCGCAGGGATCGCTGCCGCGAGGGCTGTCGCAAGGAGCGGCATGCGAGCTGGCCGAAGCAGCCCTTGGCCCTTGGAGCTGGGGCGGGGCGCCCGATCGTGCCACCAGACCGGCTGGTGGAGGCGGCAGCAGGAGCGGCCCCGCGCAGCCAAGGAAGGCAGAGCGAAGGGGGCGGCGGGGGGGGGGGCAGCGGCTGGGGCGAGGGATCAGAGCCCCCGCCGGGAAGGCGGCGGCCCAGGCGGGCCCGCTTGCCCCGCGCGGGCGGATAGGGGGGGCGCCAGCCGGCAGATGGGGCACGCGCGGCCCCAGGGCTAGCGCCGCTAGGAGGTTCAGAGCGACGCGGATTCCCAGCGCAAGCTGCGGAAGGGCTACTTGGAGCGCCCAGGTCGCTGAGCTGCCACGGCGCGCCGACGGGGTCGCGAGGGCAGCCGCGCGACCCCCTGGACCCCGACGGCCTCGTCAGAAGTGCCGGCAGCGGAGCGACCGCGCTGAAGGGCGAAACGCAGGGCCACGCCGAGGAGCCCCACCGGCGCGGGGCAACGGGCAGAGAATGGCGATCGACGCCCTGCTGACCTGCCGTGGGCGGCGGGCGAGGACGCCGGGGCCCGTGGGCCGACGGGGCCGGGGGCGCGCGCCCGCGGAGGCGGAGGCGCGGGGCGCGCGGAGGGGCCCCGCTTCGGAAACTTGGAAAACCTCTTGTTGCCCAATAGCTCAGCCGCGAGGGCACGCCCTGCTTCGCGGTCTTTCCCGCGCGAGCCCAGAAGCCTGAAACTGTCGAAATCTCCCACGAACGCCCCCAAGCAAAATGGGGCGTTAACAAAATTGGAATCGATCTGCAAGATGGGCTTCTCCCGCTTGGAGGCGCGGCTAAGAAGGTCCTTCCAAACGCGGGACCTCCAATCTCACCCATCCGCTCGACGAGGCGGCGGGGGGGCTCGGCGACGCGCGCGCCGCGCCCGCTGGGAGGGCCCGAAGCGGAAATGAACGCGCGCCCAAGAAAGGAACGGAGGAGGGCAGGGGGGCGAGCGCTGGGGTCAGCAGATATGGAACTGCGCTCGCACAGCGCGGCACACCAGCATCGAAGCCCCAGAGACAGAGGTCGACGACCGGGGTCGCAGCAAGCTCCGCGATAGGGGGGGGGCACGGAAGCAGGGGGGCCGCGCGGATCGGCACTGGCGCTGCCAGGGGCCGCGCCCGAAGCACCGGGGCCGCCGGCGCGTTGGGCGAGCCGCGCACGGGAGCGAGACCGAGGGCGCGCTCGCCGCGCAGCCCCGGGGCGGGCGACCCGCCCCGGGCCGCCCTCGTCGGCGGGGCGAGGGGCGACGCTCCTGCCGCCCCTCGACCTGGAGCGCCGCGGGCCACCATTCTCCGCCCGGGAGCCGCTGCGGGGGTCAGCGAGACCAGCGCGGTGGAGGAGGGCGGCAGGACGCCGCCCACAATCACGAATCAGTGCATGGAAGCAGCCAGCAAACACCTGGGCGCGCTGGGAGCGGCATCGAACTCGATGCGATGGCGAGGCCCATCGCCGCGGAGGTCCCCAATGAGAAGCCGCCACTGAAAGTGGAAGGGGCGCCGCGGGCACGCCGCCCCCGCCCCTCCCAGGGGTGGCGCGCGCTGCGGATGGCGCGGGCCAGCTTGCGTTGGACGTCGCGCGAAAGCCCGGGGAAGCGGGGCAGGGCCGAAGAGCCGCCAAGGGGCCGGCGACGGCGGGGGCCCCAGTGGGAACAAGGGGCGCCCCGGCACCAGCTCGTCGGAAGGTGGTCGCCGCCCAAGCATTGCATCCGCCCATGATCCAAGCCCCCACGACGACGCGTCGGAGCCCGCGCCCCAGGCAATTGTCGCCCGGCGGGGGAAGGCCAAGGCGCGCGCCCGCGGCCGGGGGGGAGGCACCGCGCGAAGAGCAACACCAGGGAGGTCGGCGAGGGCACATTCATTGCAGAGCGATGAGTTCGCGGACGCGGCAAACACGCGGGGGGCGGCGGCAGGGGTCCGAGGGCGGCTGGATCAGCGCTGCCAGCAGGCTGAGGGGCAGACCGCGCCGCCGCGGGCAGCGCACCTCTTGCGGGGCGGCGCCCGACTAGAACGCCGCCCAGGGTCGATGCGCTCTTGCTCCGGCGCGGGGGCAGCGGAGGCAGCTGGAGAGGCGGGGCGCGCTTTGCGGGGCGCGCCAGGCGGGGCGGCAGGACAAGCCGCCGGCCCCCCCACCCCCGTCTGCGGGGACGGGCTGGGCGCGCGCAAGCGGAGGGACAGGGGGCGGGGGCTCGGCGGGCCCTGCCTCGCCCTGCGGCCCGGCGCCCTCAGGGGCGGCGACGACACCGGCGCCCCCTAGAACGAGGCAGACCTGGAAGATGGCAGGGTCGCCGAGGGGCCCGTCGCGCAGGATGGCCAGGAGGTGCTCGTTTGAAAACGCCGAGGATCTGGTCGCCGGTTTCCAATTTGCCCCCAAGCTGCGCGGCGACGGTTGCCCGCGGCGCCGGGCCATCGAGAAAGCGCCCACCAGGCGCGCGCCAGATCGGGCGACGGCCTCGAGACAGCACCCCATCGCAGCGCGAAAATCCGCCAGGCCATCGATGGAGAACGTCGGAACGGGCGAGGGCAGCGCCCCAGAAGGGCCCGCCGCCGGCACGGCAGGGGGCGGCATGGCCGAGAAGAGCTTCAGCGGAGCCCCCTGCGTTGCTGAAATCGCCAACGGGGAAGGCAAAGTCGCCCATCTCATAAGAGAGCAGCCACGCCAAGCTGTCGGCGCGCGAGCTCGGCAGGCAGAAGGAACCGCGCTACGGTGGAGGCCAGTCCACAAGAAACCCACCGCAAGAAACCCGAGCCTGCAATCCACCGAGGTCTCTTAGTCCAAGGTTGGGTTTCTTGCACTCCGGCCGCAGACGAAGAAACCCAGGGGGGCCTGACCCAGAACAGCGGGGGCGACCCAGCAGCGGGCGGATCACGCGAAAACTGCGTGAGAAAATATGTGCCACTTGCGTTTGGGGCCCATCAACGATCAGCTGCTTAAGCTCTCGGGCGCGCGCCCCGCATGCGCCAGGGCCCTCGCGCCAGACTGGCGCGCGCCCGCCAGCTCGCGCGCGCTTCGAGCGACGAGAAAAACAAAGAGATGGACGGAGAAGCCGAAGGTTCCCTGGATGCCCGAAGGTTGCTCGCAGGTTCGAGCGCGCGCCCCGAGACGCACCGACGCCGAAGGGACCCAGGGCGCCCTGACACCCGCAGCCACTTCGAGATGGCGGCGACCCTCCCCGCCGAACGCGCGCCGAGACCCAGGGAAATCCATGCGAAACAGGAGGCGCTCGCGGCCACGCGCCCCCACGGCGGCCAGTCGCGAGCGGGGGGGGGGGGGGGCAAGCGGCGCGCAAGATCGGAGGGCGGCGTGGAACGGGGCAACGGCAGGCGGCGTTAGTGAGGGGCCCGGGAATTCTCTCCGCGCGGGGTCTTCCTGGTTCGCCCATCAGCCCACCGCGAGCGATTGGGGGCGGTGCGTCGGCGGATAGACTCCCCTGACACCTCGCCATCAGAGCCGGGGCGGAAGTCATGGTGCCAGAGAAATGCGAGGCACTGAAGGGCGAGGCAGAATTTGCCAGCGTCGCAGCCGAGCATGGGGCGGGGGCCCCAAGCAAGCCGAGAGACCACCTTCCCGCCCAAGCAGCCGGAAACCGAGGCAAGGGGGGAGGCCCCGGAAAATGATACCAACGCGTGCT